CCCGCGGGCTCAGGTAATCCACTCACTTCAGCCTCCCAAGGCATGGGATTACAGGCTGAGCCTCCGAGCCTGGCTGTTTAAGGAACTTTTAAACGTAATTTTGGCGAAGTCTCAGAAAGAAAAAAGAAGAGTTATAGAAAAAGCTTCATTTTAGGGAATACATAAATAATCATGTATGGGATATTGATAGAAATGTGTTCATTAAGGGTGATTCTGATGAGATTTTAGGTGGAAATAAGGACCATGTTATTGGACAATGAAGAAAAGCCACTCTTTGTTATAAATGGCAAAGAATTTGGTTGAAGTATATGCTCGTGTTCTGTGGAAGTTAGAACTTTCATGCAATAAAATTGGAAATTTTTTTTTGTTGCATTGGGTTGTCACGCTGTCATCCAGACTGGAGCACAGTAACCAGATAACTGCTCACTGCAACCCTGACCTTCTGGGCTCAGGTGATCCTTCTGCCTCAGCGTCCTGAGTAGCTGGGACTATAGGCACATGCTACTATGCCTGGCTAATTTTTTGTAGAAATGGGGTCTCGCTATGTTGCCCAGGCTGGTCTTCAATTCCTTAGCTCAACCCTTCCTCCTGTCTTAGCCTGCCTAAGTACTGGGATTATAGACCTGAGCCACTGTACCTGGCCAAAAATTGGATATTCAACTGAAGAGATTTCTCACCAAAATGCAAGACGAGAGAAATGGAGTGATTAAGGAATTCTTTAGCAAAATTGAACCAGATCGTAAAGATTTGGAAATGCTTGGCCTATCCACATTGCAAAGAATAAGTATGTTCTGAATGGAGCACTAAGTGTATGGCTGGGTGGCCACTTGATAAGACATGCGTGGTTGGGAACCAACAACCTAATGAGTCATCTCAACAGAAGTCATAGAGAATGGGATTATATCTGCAGAACCACTGCCAGCTGAGATTCAAGAAAACAGAAAAAAACAGAATTGATGAAGGAAATCTCTGAATATATGCTATCCTTCAATAAGTGGGAAGAAGGACCCCAAAGGTGATTTAGAGATCACTGAAGTGGTCACTCCTGTTACAGATCCTGGGGACAAGCCAGTATCTCCTTGGTTTCAGATGATGGGACTGACTCAAAGAATGGGCCACTGCATGGAGCAGTGTGGCCAATCTCCCTCCAACTCCCTATAGATAGCCGCAACATGGGTCATGCTCCACTCACCCAATACCCATCACCACGACGTTGCCCCCCCAGTGGACTTACAAACCAGAGCATTGAACCAAAGAGAATTGTTCTCAAGGCTTAAGATTTTATGACGTTTGCCTTGCTGGGTTTTGGACTTGCTTGAGACCTATCACTTCTTCCTTCTTTTGTAGTTTTCCCTTTTAGAATGGGAATGTCTGTCCCATGCCTGTCTGAACATTTGTTTTAGAAGTATATCACTTGTTTAGTTTCACAGATTCACAGGTGGAAAGGAATTTTTTCTCAGGATGACTGTACCTTGAGTCTCATCTAAATCTGATAGAGATGCTGTTTAGATGAGACTTGGAACTTAAGAGTTTAGAACTGATCCTGGGATAATTTAAGACTTGTGTAGTTGTTGGGATTGGATGAATGTATTTTGCATGTGAGAAGGAAATGACTTTTGGTAGGCTAGGGGTAAAATGTTATGAACTAAATATTTGTGTTCTCCCCAGATGTGTTGAAATT